TGTGTGTGTGTGTGTGTGTGTGTTCGTTTGTCCGGGTATTTCTACTTGCCAGCCACGCGAGCTTTAATGCTGGGGTCTTGCGAGAGTGTTCCTTAGCCAATTGCGACCCCGCGAACGTGACGTCACTGTCACGCATGTCTACGTCTCACGCATGGACGCCTGGAAGTTTTGGCGGAAAAATTGCTGACTCGGGAACAAAAAAAACTAGAAAGCTGAAAGTTTAAGGGAGTGTTCCATACCTGTACATGAATAAAAGATTTCAAATTCAGCTGCTTAGGACTGTTCGAGATTCGTGTACGTGCACGTGGAAATTTTGGCGGGATGATTGTTAACTCGGAGAAGAGGAAAACTAGAGAGCTGAAACATTACGTAAAATTTTACTGGTCCACACGTGAAACCTAAGCAGACATGAAAATTGAATATGAAATCCCAGGATTGCGTGTTAACAGGCGACATCGCCCAAAATTTCCATTTTATGTGTTTTTGCATATATGCGAATGCAAAAACACGCATTGGCAAGAGGCTATGTGTCTGTGCCTGTGTGTGCGCACTTTTTGTCACCTACTTTCTACTCGAGAACCAGAAAAGCTAGAAAACTGGAACTTCAGGAATATGTGTCCACGCCATGTGCGACCATCCTGTTTTAAAATCATCACCCTGGGCCTGGGTCCCACGTACGGGCGGCTTAAAAAATATGCAAATTTTCTGGCGGGTAAGCGATCTCGGGAACCAGGAAGGATAGAGACCTGAAACTTTGCAGGGATATTCTCTGTGCATGTATGAGCTAAAGATTTCAAACCAAACCCCTAGCTGTGCGTGATTCTCATGTACAGGTATGTGAAAGTTCTCTTGTGGAAATGTTAATCCGGCAACCAAAAAAGCCGGAAAGCTGAAATTTTAGGAGAATGTCCCCTATCCAAGTAAAAGTTAAAGATTCCAAATTCAACCTCCAGTTATGCACGGTTCTCGTGCTCGCGCATTTAAATTTTTGGTGAGAAAATAGCTCATTGAAGAACTAGGTCTTTTTCAAGGATAGACCGCTAAACGGAAGTCGTTCATTCTCCTTTATGAAAAATTTATCGTGATTTACGGTAGCGAGCACTGAAAGTAAATGTAAAGCAATGACCGTTCATGCAGTTAACGACCTAATTACTTCATGTTTAGTGCAAAAACGCATGATCGCACCGGCACGCTTGGTGCGTTCCAGCTTGAGTTCTACCTTGTCCGTTCCCTGAGGCAAAAAATTTTACCGATGTACCCACGTGTCCGTAACGTGAGATCTAGACGAATTTAAAAGCTGAGTTAAAGTCACATGAGCAGAAAGCCTATAACACCTAACTTGTTCTGTCTCCGAGTCAAGAAGTTTCTTGCCAGAACTTCCATATGTCTGTACCTAAGACTCTGAAGTACTTGGAGGTTAATTCCGAATTTCTGAGGCTCCGCACGGGTAAAAAATATCCCCCTGAAAGTACAGCTTCCTAACCTTTCTGGTTCCTGGGTTAGTGACTTTTACGATAAAATTTTGAACGTGGCAGTACGTAAGATCTAGGGTATGTGGGCGGGAGCTGGATTCGAGTTTATAAGGTCGCGCATGAGCAGGAAGCCTCCCCTCTCCCACCCTTCCCCGTCCCCTCCCTCCCTCCCCGCAACCCCCATCCCTCCCAACTTCCTAGCTTTTGCTGATTCCCAAACTAGTAATTTTCCCGTCGAAAATTTCGCGTAATCCTCCCTAGAATCTAAGCACCAGGTGACGACTGGACTTAAGTTTGCAGGGTCGCACGTGGGTAGGAAGCATGTTCCCAAAATTTTAGCCCGCTAACTCTTCTGGTTTCTGAGTTGAAAATCTGAGGAAACTCACTTGGACAGACACACGCAATCGTGACAGTATGCACTTGGTGCAATTGCTGCACAATATGCACAATAAGCAAACCGTCCAGATGCGTGCTCTCGCTGTACGGCCCAGCACGGGCAACTGTTCAGCTAATTGGGTGATGTGCAGCGTGAGTGAAGAGCCGCGCTACGCAACAAGTGATCTTTTATTTCATTTACATGTATGCTCATGAAACGAGCAAGCACAGGCAATTCACACACAGAGCGCGAAGGGATGCACGCTCGCCGCAAGTCGCAGCAGTCCGTGCAAAACTAGTTCTCCAGAGCCCTTGGCATCCCTGGTATCCTACTGCCTATTATCTGGATTGTATCTCGAAAGGGTGAGCAAGACCGAATTTGACTTAAAAATTTGTGCAAAACAAAGTGGTCCCCCGCAATCCGAAAATTCGGTTTGCAGGATAAAGTATAAGAATTTTTCAGTGAAACCTGTGCAGCTGCATTCCGCATCATCGATAACTGGGCGGTGGGTGCATTTGTGAGACGCGATAGAACTGCTGGACCAGTGTGGGGCATTGCCTGCTCCTTAAAACTGCTTCGGCAAAGAGAATAGCAGTAGAGTATTTTTGGGGTGAAAATTGGATACAACCATCTATTCAAAGGAAACAGCTTTCTGTGGTAATCTCTCAAGCTTCACTTTCGACAGCTTTCCTAGGCGCAGTTTATTTGGTTACCAAAATGTGAACGATGACTGCATAACCACTGTTCGTTGAGGTAAACTCATATTATTCCATTCTGTCTCAAACTTACTGACACGAGCTGAGACAATTCAACGCCGCCTTCCCCCAATCCACTCCCCCAGCAATCACGGTTTGCGTTATATCTCAGCCTTTTAAATATTCCATCGCACCGCTTCACGTTTTCGGCTTAAAAATCACGGAGAAAGCAAAGAAATAGGGTTGTGCTAATTTTAGCTGTAATCTTCATTTTCCCGTCTGTCTCGGAACTGGTACCAGCGAGTTCTTGCGTCAAATGTATAAGAATATCAACACATAGCAACACTAAAATTATAACGACAGAAATTAATCTATATTTTGGTAAGTAAAACGAATGTGCCATTGTTTACAACAGCTCTCTTGTTAAATAATCACAATGCGGTGAAATACTGGACAACAAAAGTAATACTAGAGGACTGCAGCTGCCACTTTCATTACCACTGTTATTATGAAGTCGAAATCAAAGCCTTATTCACACTGAATCAAAGCCTTATTCACAGCCTTATTCACAATGAACACTGAATGAGAGGTGGAGGCGTCCGGAAGCAACCCAACCCAAATGTCGGCAAGTGCCAACGACATCCACCCCCCTGACAGTTTCGAACCCTTGACAAACGCCAGTATTAATTTACATCGAAACAAATAAACGAATCAAAGAGAGGTCGGCTTTTCCACTAAAGCAGTTGAACGATTAAGCGGTGGAACAGAAGATGCTTGAGGTGTCTTTTCGTGACTACATGTGCAGGCAAACTCCCCATAAAATAAAGCCGTGCAGGATGTCATCGTGTGCACGCAAGGATTAAAATCCAATGGGTAGGGCACCTTGCCAATCTTGCTAAGAGTTGGTAAATGTTGTGCATCGGTGAGTAGTACTAGCAAGAAAATAAAAAAGCACTCGAGCGCCTCCGAAGAGATGGCGTACACCGAAATGGCTGTGGATACTGGCTGGAGTCATTGAAGCCCAGTACCTAGGCGCTTGGCATAACTCTCCTTAACTCCCAAATTTTCTAAACCATTTGGTGTAGCTGCGCCTAGCATGTAGACTGCACCTCAGTCACAGCACTAGTGATGAGTATGTGCACCGATTCAACTGTCTGGGGGATTTTGGAAGTTTGGCAGTTATTACAGTCATTATCTAAAAATAGGTTTTCAGGTAGTAGAGAAGAGGTAATCTGAATCTGATAATTTTGAATCATCCATCCATATTTTGGACACAGGCATTGATCCTCTGAGCAAC